GGGCAGGCGGGAATCGAACTCATGCGGAAGCGGCTTTAGATTTTCAGTGCTGTGCTTTAACCCGCTGCGCCACCAGGGAGGGCCCATGCACCAGCTTTTTAAATGGCCTCCTTGTTTCTCTTCTTATCCCTTGCAAATAAAATTTCCAAATGACACAGCAGAAAATCTAGATGGTCTTAGGTTTGGCAATGACTTTTAGATATAGCACCATATCATGACCATAAACCATTCATGAAAGAATGCTAGTAAGTTGGACTTCACTAAAATTAAAAACTGCTCAGAGAAAGATAACATAAAGACTAGTCACAGACTGGGAAAAATTTTGCAAAAGACACATCTGATAAAGAATTTTATTGAAATTTAAACAATGAGATATCATTAAACAGCTATCAAAATGGCCAAAATCCAGAGTCTCAACATCATCAAATACTGGCAAGGATGTGTAACAAACAGAAATGCAATTCATTTTAAGGCAGTGGAATAAGAGCTCTCATTCACTGTTTGGTGGGAATGCAAAATGCAGCTTTGGAAGACAGTTTGGTAATTTCTTAAAAAACTAAAAGTACTTGTACCCATATGACCTCGTAAATATTCTCCCTGATATTTACCCAAATGAGTTGAAAACATCTGTGAAAACCTGCACATAGACATTTACTAATTCATAAGAGCAAATCTGGAAGCAATCAAAAATGTCCTTCAGTAGGTAAGTAGATAAACTGAACTATATCCAGACACTGGAATATTACTTAGTTCTAAAAAGAAGTAGGCTATCAAGTCACAGAAAAACTAAAATGTATATGACTAAGTGGAAGAAATCAATCTAAAGAGCCAATATGACTCCAACTATCTGATACTCTGAAAAAGACCAAGTATGGAGATGGCACAAAGACCAATGACTGCCAACGTTAGAGGAGAGGAGGAGATGAATAAACAGCACACAGAGGATTTTTAAGCAGTCACTCTATACTGGACTATGATGGCAAAATATGTAATTGCATAGTTATACAAACCCACAGACTGTACAACACCAAGAGTAAATACTGATACAAACTATGGACTTTGGGTAATAATGATTTGTTCATGTATCACTGTAGTGTAAAATGTTGGTTGCGTGGGAATGGCTATGTGGGAACTCTGTACTTTCCAGTCAATTTGACTGAAAACTTAAAAATGCTCTATTAAATGAAATTCATTAATTTATTTAAGATTTATTTTTATTTATCTAGGCACACAAGAACTGGGCTATAGGGCAGAGATGTATGGGATGAGAAGATTCTCCAGAGACAGAGTGGGGAGCAGAACACACCGATGTACTAAAATACACTGGTGAGGGGCGCAGTGAGCAAGCCAGGAGAGGTCCGTTGTGCCACGTGGGTTAGCTCCCTGGCCAAGGATCAAACTCATGCTCCAGTGGCTGGCGATATCTTGGTAGCACTGACACTCAATCCCTGAGCCACCAGGGAGGCCCAAATTTACTAATTTCTTAAAACACTAAAGGATGATATCTACAACTCTCAAAGATTATGAACAAAAAAAAAACAATATTATAAAATACTGACAAAACAAAGGGGTACAATGTAAGCATGCATATTCTTTCCATTTTTCTATAAGCATAAAAACTTCTTTAAATAAATACCAAGTAAAACTCTCCAACAACTTTTCATTTCAGTCAGAGCAAATGACAAAGTTCTTGTAATTAATTGTAAGAACACTCTACTCTGGGCACATAGGATAACTTGCTACTCCTTGTCAAACTTGTTTTGCTATTTCCTGTTTTGCTGATAATCTCTGTGATGTGCATGTGGCTCATTCCCTTACAACCTCAGATATCTGCTTAAATATCACTTTCTCAGTAAGATTTTCAATGACCACGCTATTTAAAACTCCAATCTCCATTTCTATTCCCTAAGTGTATTTGTCCTTTAAATTTCTGTCTGCTTGACCACCTGCTATGTTCTGAGTATCTAGCTTATGGATATATTAATTACTTAATGAAAAAGTAAATTGAAAGTATGTTAAACCATGGTGATTTGGATGTCTAGTCCTTCAGGTTTAGAGCCACCTATTCACCACCAGGTAATAATGAAAACATTTTCTGTTGGGCAGGTATGAATGTAATCAAGATTCTATTAATAGTAGACTGGAAAAGAGAAGAAAGTATCCAATGATTAAGGCAACTAGCTCAAAGAATTGGGTCAAAAAGAAAATAAATGAGGATATGGGTAACTAGAGGTGAAGACACAAATAAGGAGCTTTACTTGCTTATTTTAATAAAGGTAAAGTCCAAGTTTGTTTAAAGCTAATAGTAAATGGCTAGCAGACAGAAAATATGAGACATCAACTGGGTAACTAATAAAAAATGAGGAGGGATGAGATCCAGAATACGAATGGAGAATCAGCCCTGGTTATAAAATGGAAAAGAGAAAAAAAATAAACTCCAAATATAAGCAAGTTGGTAAGTGATGATAAGAGCTGAGAATTTCCCATCTGTTATTTCCACTTTGTAATAGAAAGTGTGGCCACCTACTAAATTAGAATAAAGTTTATGAAGATGCACATATTTGAAGCCAGTGGAATATACTGGAAAAAAGTCACAAGAGAATACAAGTGGGAAACAGCTGGTGAAAAGGAAATGACAGTTCAACTTTTACAAATAAGAAAATATATAACAATCAATCCTGTCCATTTTTGTTGTTTGCTCTTCTCATTACTATGAAAAGGAAATCAGACATAGAATCCGTTATTTTCATTTCACAGTTTACCTATTCCGAGCAGGAGATTTTCCAGCATCCTCTTGAACAGATACAAGTCTTGTTGAAAGAGCAGTATTTGAGGAGTCTGGGTGAATCAAACTACAAGGAAAATAGGAAAATACTGAGAAAATTTGGGATGGTAACAGGAAAATCCAATTTCAATGAAATAATCAACACTTAAGAGCAAACTGTTTTATGCCGGCAATAACAACAGTGTGGTTAATTATTGTTTTCTTCCTTTAATTAAGGTGGAAACAGGATGGTATTTGTTTTAAGTATATGAAATATCAAAAAGCTAATAAAACACAGAATACTAATAAAATAACAAAACTGGTTTAATGGTTGGTTTACAGAAATCCTCAAATCACACAGAGAAGGCTACAGTGACTTGGGAGAAAGCAGGGATCCTAAATTCAGCTATTTTATTCTCAGCTCCTAAAGAGTTAGATCCAAGCACAGTCACTACCTCTTACTATAAGATCTAGGGCATATCAGAACTAATCTCTCTGAACTTCAGCATCCTTATATGTCAAAAGGAGACAATCGTGCCTACAGCAGAAATATGAAGACTAAAAGAGATTAAATAATAAACAATTAGCAAATATTAATCTACCTTTGACATCTAACCTACATCTCCTTCAAGAAGCTTTCAAATCTCATTTGTTTCATTAAATCATTTTCTAATTCTGAACTCTTACAACAGGGCCTAGCACAACTAAAAGATACTTTTTAGTAGAGTAAGTAAAAATGCACACAACTGACCTTTGAAAAACACAGTGGGTAGGGGGCACAGATCCTCCCCAGAGTCAAAAATCTACATGTAACTTTCGACTCCCCCAAAAACTTAACTATTAACAGCCTGCAGTTGACTGGCATTACCAAAAAACATAGTCAACTCATAATGTGTATGTTATACATATTATAGTAAAATAAGTTAGAGAAAAGAAAATGTTATCAAAATCTTAAGTATATCATCAAAGTTTTTGTCCTCATTGTCTTCACCTTGAGTAGGCTAAGGAAGACTCAGAAGAGGGGTTGAAAACAATCCGCAGGTTAAGGATCCCAGCAGTTCAAACATATCTTGCCAGTGGGTCATCTGTACTTTTTCTTTTATTTAAGTGGAACTGATCTTTAAAGTTTATGTTAAGGTAAAAAGAATGAAGATGCCACATGCATCAACGCACCCAGGAAGCAATTTGAGAAAAACAGTACCAGTGGCTCTGAAGTGCCTGTTTCCCCTACACAAATCCATTCCTGCCCTGCCCTCAATAAAACTATTTTTGTTATATTATTCTCTTCACCAAGTTTACCATGATTGTATCCCTAGCTAGCATAGTCAATGGTTATATATTTTAATTTTATATAAATAACACTGGGTATATATGTGACTTTCTTTTCGACTCCATATTACATCCTTGAGAGCAAAAACAAGTCAGATACACTGGCAATTCATTCATTTTTTACTTCTGTCTAAATTCACTGGTTACAAACTAACTCTTCACTCCCTTAGGGGTAACTGAGAAAGCAACTTACCAAAAAGAGGTTAGTTAAAACTAAGCACTTTGACATAGCCAGATTTGCTATTATTCATTTAAAAAAATTATTTAGCTAAAGAAATTATTCAGAAACTGAGGAACCTAGTATTCTAATTCAAACAATTCCAAGTAACTTCCAAGAAAGGATTAGTATCACGCTCCACTAAAATGCAGTGTGGCATATTTAGACATATAGGAAATCATGAAATGCTTCTTAGGAACGAGAAAATACTAGATTTGTTTGTATATAAAATTTTATGAGCAACCTACTTCTCAAAGGAGATAATATTAGTGAGATAATTATTATCTCACTAATAGTCATAAGCTACTCAAAATAGTTGTAAGCTCCAGGTGACAGAAGTACAATGGTGAGCAAGAAATATCTAAAGTCCTTCCTTTTGCAGAGCTAACATTCCCATCAGTCAATATCAGCACAATCCATAACATCTTTGGTGATCCTTCTGGAGCCAAATTAAGGAGAAAATAGCCAATGTGCAGGAAACAATGGAAAGTAAATGTTAATAAAAAGCACTCAAAGGTCACAAGACTGTAAATATTTCTTAAGCATAAATAAAATTATAATTAAATAACAGTACCTTTGCCAGGCAAAATCATCCTCTAAAAAAATGTTGCGGCTGGCTTTTCTGCTCCCCACAGGTGTTCGGGGTTCACTTGGATCAAGTACAGATACAGAGGAAGCAGAATCTGAAAGAGCATTCAAGTCTTCCCCGATGGAATTACTGTCTGTAGAATGCGCGTAACTTAAGGCTATTTTTCTGCA